TGCGCAACGTACGGACTCAACGTGGAGCGCGTCTTCCAGGACGGTGAGGAACAAAAATGTGTCTGATAAATAAAGGAGACATAGACAGAGCAAGGCAATAGAATATGTACAGATATAATTATAAACAACGGAAATTGCTCCGAAAATACGTGAAAATGGACGAAACAAGTCTTTATTATCTAATATCTAATTAGGTGCAAAAATGTCGGACAATGTCTCTTTTTTGAAGGGGGTTGGCGGGGATCCTCTGGGGGGGAAGGGGGTCAAAAAACATGTGGAAAATGACTAAAATATACGTATAAAATGTCCTAAAAATATGTTAAATAATATTTGTTATATTTTTTTTTAAGAACATTTTTCAGAGTTTTTTGGCAGATATTTAAAGTCCAATCTTTATGCATTTCCCTTTTAATCCACATTTTTTAGACATTTTCCCACATATTTCTGTGATGTTTTTCACATCCTTTTTCTGTCATTACTCCTCTGTATTTTTGGAAATGTTTTGACCTATTTTTGGGACAAATTCCAAGTATTTTTGGTTTGTTTTCTAACATGTCTTTTGGGGATATTTCTTCATATATATCTCAGACAATCTACCGTTAAAGATTAGCAGATAATTAGCAGATATAAAGAGGTGGAGGTGGGGGTGGGGGGGGGGGTCCTCTGGGAAGGTCACTCTCCTCCGGACACTTTAATTGCTCCTCAATTAAGAAGGAAATGGAGCCGCGGAGCGATTGAGACCAAAGAGAGCTGCAGTTAAGTTTTATCAGAGGGGGGGGGGGGTTAATAAAGAGACAGACATTACAGGAGGAAGAGGAGGAAGAGGAAGAGGAAGAGTGTCCTCACTGACCGGGTTTAAATCCTACATGCAGTTGTTCAGATGATCATTCACATTTACTCGAGAAAAACGCCCTGAAAATTGGTCAAAAAATGTGTGGAAAATTAGCAGAAAAAATGTTTAAATTATTTGTGAAAATGGCAAAAAAACTGAAATAAAATAGTCCGAAAAAAATATTGAAACTAGCTAAAAAATGAAGTTTAATATCACCAATAAAATCCCCCAAATGTATGAAATATCGGAAGTATTTTGAATAGAATGAATAATACGTATTACAAACTGAATAAATAATAAATGCTAAATAAAAAGTAGAAAGTCATTGCTGTGTTTGTCCTGAAGGGGGCAGCGCAGGAGCAGTTTAAATAAGGTGGCAGTTAGTCAAGAAGAGTGTGTGTGTGTGTGTGTGTGTGTGTGTGTGTGTGTGTGTGTGTGTGTGTGTGTGTGTGTGTGTGTGTGTGTGTGTGTGTGTGTGTGTGTGTGTGTGTGTGTGTGTGTGTGTGTGTGTGTGTGTGTGGTGTGTGGTGTGTGTGTGTGTGTGTGTGTGTGTGTGTGTGTGTGTGTGTGTGTGTGTGTGTGTGTGTGTGTGTGTGTGTGTGTGTGTGTGTGTGTGTGTGTGTGTGTGTGTGTGTGTGTGTGTGTGTGTGCGCTCTTGGCCCAGGAGGAAGCTTTCCACACTAAACGCTGTCTTATTATCCTCTTAATTATTCCACTGTGTGTGTGTGTGAGTGTGAGTGAGTCTCTGTGTGTGTGTGTGTGTGAGTGAGTCTCTGTGTGTGTGTGTGTGTGTGTGTGTGTGTGTGTGAGTGAGTCTGTGTGTGTGTGTGTGTGTGTGTGTGTGTGTGTGTGAGTGAGTCTGTGTGTGTGTGTGTGTGTGTCTCACTGTCTCCTTGTATTTTTCTCGTCATTATCCCAAATTAATCAGTTTTTTAATCATCCAGCAGAACGATGACTTTAATGTTTTCTGTCGACGGCGACACACAGCGACAGCCGCCTGCAGCTGTGTGTGTGTCTGTGTCAGTGTCAGTGTGTGTGTGTGTGTGTCTGTGTCAGTGTCAGTGTGTGTGTCAGTGTGTGTGTGTGTGTGTCAGTGTGTGTGTGTGTGTGTCTGTGTCACTGTGTGTGTCAGTGTGTGTGTGTGTGTGTCTGTGTCAGTGTCAGTGTGTGTGTCAGTGTGTGTGTGTGTGTGTCTGTGTCAGTGTCAGTGTGTGTGTCAGTGTGTGTCTGTGAGAAAGTGTGTGTGAGAGAGAAAGTGTGTGTGTGTTTCTGTATATATATATATATATATATTTATATTATTTAATGTTGTATTCTTATCTTGGAGACATCTGCGTGTGTGCTTATGCATTTTCGTGTGTGTGTGTGTGTGTGTGTGTGTGTGTGTGTGTGTGTGTGTGTGTGTGTGTGTGTGTGTGTGTGTGTGTGTGTGTGTGTGTGTGTGTGTGTGTGTGTGTGTGTGTGTTGTGCTGTGTGTGTGTGTGTGTGTGTGTGGTGTGGTGTGTGTGTGTGTGTGTGTGTGTGTGTGTGTGTGTGTGTGTGTGTGTGTGTGTGTGTGTGTGTGTGTGTGTGTGTGTGTGTGTGTGTATGGCAGCGTATCCAAAATATGTGTGTATGAAATTACTCTTATTGACAGTTTAAGTTTTTGTGTGTTTTTTGGGAGTGTGTGTCTGTGACTGTCAGTGCAAGTGTGTTTTGGTAGAACACACACACATAGAGACACACACACACACACACACACACACAGTTTAATTAGTTCTTAGCGTGACCTTAATTTGCGACGAGGACTTCAGTAACGGCGCTCGACTCTCGGCCTTCAGCCACTTAAAACACTCGCCTGCTCTAATTGGTCAGAAGCATCGACACACACACACACACACACACACACACACACACACACACACACACACACGTCAGAGCTGCAGAGTCACTGTGTGTTTATTAACAGTATTTCTTAATACATGTTCTATGAATATAAAATCAGATTTCTCTTTTCATTCTGGCATTGATCAAGCTTGTGTTCCCTCAGTGGAAAAGCCGCAATTATTCTGCATTTTCTCCCTAATTTAATGCACATTTTTCAATATTGCATTTATAATTGAAAAGCCCAGATGTGACGTCTCTCAGTAATATTCTACACCTTTCCTTTCTCTCACAAAATATCCCATCATTTGCCTATTTTTAAGCTCAAAATGACCCAAATGTTATTGATTGCTAATTGAATGAACACTACGAGTGTAATGAAGGCTTTGAAAAAGTATTTTGATTGTAATATGTGGACGTGCAGAGCAGTCAGGATTCAAGTATTCTTCTTAAATACTAAAATTGCATTGATTTTTGTTGGTGACAAAATTAGGATTTCTGTTAAATTGAGTTTTTCTGTTAAAATAACATTAAAATCCTCTTTTATTGTTCATCCATATTATAATTAAGACCTTAATAAATTAATAAAACCATAAATATTTTGAATATAAAGTCTTTTTTTCTGAGTAGACATGACTACAGATTCCCTTAAGTCCCTCACATTGAGTCATGTTGCCGTGCAGGATTCAAACCCTCATCAACCTGAGATTATTGATCACCTGCACGTATTGATCACCTGCACGTATTGATCACCTGCACGCAAACATATTCATTCACATTATTAATAGACCCTTAATTATTTTAATATTTATTATGATTTAACTTCCTCGGACTTCCTGTGACGGATCGTTCCCAAACGCTCGCATCCAAACGGCATTTACAAACATCCAGTCGATCGGGGATCAAATCACAATTTATGAGTGTGTGTGTGCGTGTGTGTGTGTGTGTGTGTGTGTGTGTGTGTGTGTGTGTGTGTGTGTGTGTGTGTGTGTGCGTGTGTGTGTGTGCGTGTGTGTGCGTGTGTGTGTGCGTGTGTGTGTGTGTGTGTGTGTGTGTGTGTGTGTTGTGTGTGTGTGTGTGCGTGTGTGTGTGTGCGTGTGTGTGTGCGTGTGTGTGTGTGTGTGTATTGATCCCACATGACCTTCCTGTATTGATCGTGGCGCTTTAATTACATCTGTTCATATTCAGCTTCATAATCAGCGACAAGAAACGCTGAGTCGCACTAATTTGACATGATCGCTCCGTACGGTGTGTGTGTGTGTGTGTGTGTGTGTGTGGTGTGTGTGTGTGTGTGTGTGTGTGTGTGTGTGTGTGTGTGTGTGTGTGTGTGTGTGTGTGTGTGTGTGTGTGTGTGTGTGTGTGTGTGTGTGTGTGTGTGTGTGTGTGTGGTGTGTGTGTGTGTGTGTGTGTGTGTGTGTGTGTGTGTGTGTGTGTGATGGGTTCCAGCAGTTGCACAGAGGAAGAGGAGGAGGATGAAGATGCATGAGTGACCACAACATTTAGCGTTAAAAATAATTGGCCTTCGTGACAAATCCTATGTTCAGAGAGGAGGATGAGGAAGAGGAAGAGGATAAAAACACTAATGCTGTTTATTTCTGCAGCTTTAGACGTTAGAGGTTTGTCAAAGAAATAAAGTAAAAATTAGGTAAAATAAATGAGATAAACTTATTTTAACTAATGTTTTAGATAAGTTAATTAATAGTCTATTTAATGTCTTAAATCACCAAAATGCAACAAATACATTTAAAAAATCAGTTTTTAATTAATATTGTTGTATTGATCAAAATGTGTATTTATGATTAAACTAATATAAATAATAATGTTATTTATTTTAGGATTAAGTACTCACACTGTGGGCGCAGCGTTATATCACTACATTGTGTGTGTGTGTGTGTGTGTGTGTGTGAGACATGTAATTTGCCGTAATGGGGAGTGAAGCCTGGTCCAGTGGGGGGTGACCTCTGTGTGTGTGTGTGTGAGAGTGTGTGTGTGAGAGTGTGTGTGTGAGAGTGTGTGACAGCGCCATGCTCCTTCTTCCATCAGAGCGCTAATTTAATTAGCTTAATTACAGCGACATGAGCACACACACACACACACACACACACTCTCTCTCTCTGTCAGAGTGCAGATGCGGGCGCTTCGTTAACGCTAACGAGCCGCGATGACCACACTCTGATATTTATATTAATCCCTCTCATCTCTCGTTAGCGTTCACACTCAGTCCGTCAGGATACATCACTGTTGGTGACACGGAGAAACTGACAAATCACAGTGTTAGAAACTGACCAATCACACTGTGACACAGAGAAACTGACCAATCACACTGTGAGAGACACACAGAAACTGACCAATCACACTGTGAGAGACACACAGAAACTGACCAATCACACTGTGAGAGACACACAGAAACTGACCAATCACACTGTGACACAGAGAAACTGACCAATCATACTGTGAGAGACACACAGAAACTGACCAATCACACTGTGACACAGAGAAACTGACCAATCATACTGTGAGAGACACAGAGAAACTGACCAATCACGCTGTGACACAGAGAAACTGACCAATCACGCTGTGACACAGAGAAACTGACCAATCACACTGTGACACAGAGAAACTGACCAATCACGCTGTGACACAGAGAAACTGACCAATCACACTGTGAGAGACACACAGAAACTGACCAATCACGCTGTGACACAGAGAAACTGACCAATCACACTGTGAGAGAGAGACACAGAGAAACTGACCAATCATACTGTGAGAGACACACAGAAAACTGACCAATCATACTGTGAGAGACACACAGAAACTGACCAATCACACTGTGAGAGACACAGAGAAACTGACCAATCATACTGTGACACAGAGAAACTGACCAATCATACTGTGAGTGACATAATAAAAACAGTGGTGTTAGGGACCTAAAATAAAAACAGTGATGTTAGGGAACTACAATAAAAACAGTGATGTTAGGGAACTAAAATAAAAACAGTGATGTTAGGGAACTACAATTAAAACAGTGGTGTTAGGGAACTACAATAAAAACAGTGGTGTTAGGGAACTACAATTAAAACAGTGATGTTAGGGAACTACAATTAAAACAGTGGTGTTAGGGAACTACAATAAAAACAGTGGTGTTAGGGAACTACAATTAAAACAGTGGTGTTAGGGAACTAAAATAAAAACAGTGATGTTAGGGAACTACAATTAAAACAGTGGTGTTAGGGAACTAAAATAAAAACAGTGATGTTAGGGAACTAAAATAAAAACAGTGATGTTAGGGAACTAAAATAAAAACAGTGGTGTTAGGGAACTACAATAAAAACAGTGGTGTTAGGGAACTACAATTAAAACAGTGGTGTTAGGGAACTACAATAAAAACAGTGGTGTTAGGGAACTACAATAAAAACAGTGGTGTTAGGGAACTAAAATAAAAACAGTGGTGTTAGGGAACTAAAATAAAAACAGTGATGTTAGGGAACTAAAATAAAAACAGTGGTGTTAGGGAACTAAAATAAAAACAGTGGTGTTAGGGAACTACAATAAAAACAGTGGTGTTAGGGAACTAAAATAAAAACAGTGGTGTTAGGGAACTAAAATAAAAACAGTGATGTTAGGGAACTACAATAAAAACAGTGGTGTTAGGGAACTAAAATAAAAACAGTGGTGTTGGGGAACTAATATAAAAACAGTGATGTTAGGGAACTACAATAAAAACAGTGGTGTTAGGGAACTAAAATAAAAACAGTGGTGTTAGGGAACTACAATAAAAACAGTGGTGTTAGGGAACTAAAATAAAAACAGTGATGTTAGGGAACTACAATAAAAACAGTGATGTTAGGGAACTACAATAAAAACAGTGGTGTTAGGGAACTACAATAAAAACAGTGGTGTTAGGGAACTAAAATAAAAACAGTGGTGTTAGGGAACTACAATAAAAACAGTGGTGTTAGGGAACTAAAATAAAAACAGTGGTGTTAGGGAACTACAATAAAAACAGTGGTGTTAGGGAACTAAAATTAAAACAGTGGTGTTAGGGAACTAAAATAAAAACAGTGATGTTAGGGAACTAAAATAAAAACAGTGGTGTTGGGGAACTAAAATAAAAACAGTGGTGTTAGGGAACAACAATAAAAACAGTGGTGTTAGGGAACTAAAATAAAAACAGTGGTGTTAGGGAACAACAATAAAAACAGTGGTGTTAGGGAACTAAAATAAAAACAGTGGTGTTAGGGAACTACAATAAAAACAGTGGTGTTAGGGAACTAAAATTAAAACAGTGGTGTTAGGGAACTAAAATAAAAACAGTGATGTTAGGGAACTAAAATAAAAACAGTGGTGTTGGGGAACTAAAATAAAAACAGTGATGTTAGGGAACTACAATAAAAACAGTGTTGTTAGGGAACTACAATAAAAACAGTGGTGTTAGGGAACTACAATAAAAACAGTGGTGTTAGGGAACTAAAATAAAAACAGTGGTGTTAGGGAACTACAATAAAAACAGTGGTGTTAGGGAACAACAATAAAAACAGTGGTGTTAGGGAACTAAAATAAAAACAGTGGTGTTAGGGAACTACAATAAAAACAGTGGTGTTAGGGAACTAAAATTAAAACAGTGGTGTTAGGGAACTAAAATAAAAACAGTGATGTTAGGGAACTAAAATAAAAACAGTGGTGTTGGGGAACTAAAATAAAAACAGTGATGTTAGGGAACTACAATAAAAACAGTGGTGTTAGGGAACTACAATAAAAACAGTGGTGTTAGGGAACTACAATAAAAACAGTGGTGTTAGGGAACTACAATAAAAACAGTGGTGTTAGGGAACTACAATAAAAACAGTGGTGTTAGGGAACTACAATAAAAACAGTGGTGTTAGGGAACTACAATTAAAACAGTGGTGTTAGGGAACTAAAATAAAAACAGTGGTGTTAGGGAACTAAAATAAAAACAGTGATGTTAGGGAACTAAAATAAAAACAGTGGTGTTGGGGAACTAAAATAAAAACAGTGATGTTAGGGAACTACAATAAAAACAGTGGTGTTAGGGAACTACAATTAAAACAGTGGTGTTAGGGAACTACAATTAAAACAGTGGTGTTAGGGAACTACAATTAAAACAGTGGTGTTAGGGAACTAAAATAAAAACAGTGGTGTTAGGGAACTAAAATAAAAACAGTGGTGTTAGGGAACTAAAATAAAAACAGTGGTGTTGGGGAACTAAAATAAAAACAGTGGTGTTAGGGAACTAAAATAAAAACAGTGGTGTTAGGGAACTAAAATAAAAACAGTGGTGTTAGGGAACTAAAATAAAAACAGTGGTGTTAGGGAACTACAATTAAAACAGTGGTGTTAGGGAACTAAAATAAAAACAGTGGTGTTAGGGAACTAAAATAAAAACAGTGGTGTTAGGGAACTAAAATAAAAACAGTGGTGTTGGGGAACTAAAATAAAAACAGTGGTGTTAGGGAACTAAAATAAAAACAGTGGTGTTAGGGAACTAAAATAAAAACAGTGGTGTTAGGGAACTAAAATAAAAACAGTGGTGTTAGGGAACTAAAATGAAAACAGTGGTGTTAGGGAACTACAATAAAAAATGTAAATAAGATTAGGGGGTGTTTGGGAACTAAAATAATTGTGCGGTATCTTGGTGTTAAAATAGTCCCAAAAACACAAAATCTGACTTTTTTGTTCACATTTGTCTTTCTATATTCTGTTAGATATTGAGTTTATGAGCGCACAGCGAGCAGATATATAGGAGGTGTATATCTGCGGGGCTTTAAGGTGAACCCCCCCTCTCTTCACGTCATAAATCTGATCATCGGGGAGACGTTTCATTAGAATCCGACAGCAGGACGGAGATTGATGGCTAAAGTTAAACCGCATTAGGCAGCAGTTTAAATATTTAGCACGGCCTTATCATAACTGTTCCCAACACTTAAAGCAGAATATACTGCGGACAGCTGAGGGGAATCCGTCTATAAACACTGGAGGAAAGAGACCCCGTAAACAGGCCTGTGTTCAGAGGAGACTTTGTTTTAATTGGAGCTCGTTAAGACCCCTCGGCCTCGTTAAGGACCCCCCGGCCTCGTTAAGGACGAGACGCTCGTAAACATTTACCTCCGAGCGAAGGGCAGCAAGAAGAAAGTTCATTAACTCTGATTAACACGGTTTTATGTAATTATAAAACAATTTATATTTATGTACGAGACCTATCATTATTCTAAAAACAGGCTTTTTATTTTATTTACTTCAGGAAATGTCTGTTGTTGTTTTCAGTTTGTATGTAGAAATTATCCCATTTTAGTAAAAGCTGATTATATTATTTTGTGTGTGTTTACCTGGAGATCGTAGCGTGCAGGAAGTGTATCATGTGTGTGTTATTAACCGTGTGTGTGTGTGTGTGTGTGTGTGTGTGTGTGTGTGTGTGTGTGTGTGTGTGTGTGTGTGTGTGTGTGTGTGTGTGTGTGTGTGTGTGTGTGTGTGTGTGTGTGTGTGTGTGTGTGTGTGTGTGTGTGTGTGTGTGTGTGTGTGTGCAGTTGCTCAGAAGATCGTGGCCTGCAGGAAGAAGCAGCAGCTCTCCATCGGACCCTGCAAATCTCTGCCCAATTCTCCCAGTCACACCAGTGTGTGCACGGCCCCAGTGGCAGCCGTGCACGTGAGCCAGGTACACACACACACACACACACACACACACACACACACTGCAGACGGTTTGATCCCCTGTATGGATTTCTCATTAAAAACACATCGCTCACTGTCAGCGTCTCAAGAGAGAGGATAAAGAAAACACAGACAGAGGCTTTTATTCTGAAAGGACTCAAACAACACAGACTGAGGCTTTTATTCTGAAAGGACTCAAACAACACAGACTGAGGCTTTTATTCTGAAAGGACTCAAACAACACAGACTGAGGCTTTTATTCTGAAAGGACTCAAACAACACAGACTGAGGCTTTTATTCTGAAAGGACTCAAACAACACAGACTGAGGCTTTTATTCTGAAAGGACTCAAACAACACAGACAGAGGCTTTTATTCTGAAAGGACTCAAACAACACAGACTGAGGCTTTTATTCTGAAAGGACTCAAACAACACAGACAGAGGCTTTTATTCTGAAAGGACTCAAACAACACAGACTGAGGCTTTTATTCTGAAAGGACTCAAACAACACAGACAGAGGCTTTTATTCTGAAAGGACTCAAACAACACAGACTGAGGCTTTTATTCTGAAAGGACTCAAACAACACAGACAGAGGCCTTTATTCTGAAAGGACTCAAACAACACAGACTGAGGCTTTTATTCTGAAAGGACTCAAACAACACAGACTGAGGCTTTTATTCTGAAAGGACTCAAACAACACAGACTGAGGCTTTTATTCTGAATTTATTTCAGAAAATAAAACATAATTCCTCTCCTCCTCTCCTCCTCTCCTCTCCTCCTCCTCTCCTCCTCCTCCTCCTCCTCCTCCTCCTCCTCTTCTCAGACCTCTAATGGAGGCAGTCTGAGTGACTACTCTTCGTCAGTTCCTTCCACTCCCAGTACGTCTCAGAAGGAGCTGCGTATCGACGTCCCTGCGACCACGAACACTCCCACGCCCGTCAGGAAGCAGTCCAAGCGCCGCTCAAACCTCTTCACCGTGAGTCTCTCTCTGATTGGTCAACAGCTCGCAGATGTCCCGCCCCTTAGACTTATCACTTACAATGTAGCCAATAGGAGCGCAGAGAGTTCCATAGTGATGTTCTGATGGAGGGAAAACAGCTTTTATATATATCTATAGAAGCTGTTATAAAACGTACAACTCAGACTTCTACACAGCTTTAGAGTAATTGCTCATTTCAGTGTACAGAAAAGCACTTTTACAGCTGCAGAAAAAGCAGAATTTCAGGTCATTCCTGCCCGTTAATACTCAAAGGTTTAGCGTGTAAAGATCCTGCAGAATGAGACGTTTTAATGCAGCGGTGTTAAAGTCAGTTGACTGTGAATAATAATGAGTTTATTGTGATGTTGAGATAGTTCCTTGCATAATAATGACTCTTTTCAGTCAGTATCTGCAGATTATACCAAGTATTTACTGATAATAATGTACATTTCTTGAATGTTAGGTAGTTTCCTGCAGATACTATATATTGTATAGATATTTCCTGATAGATAGTTTATAGTAATAATGAGTATTTCTGGTGTTAAAGTCCGTTTCTGCAGATAATAACACGTATCTCTTGGTGTTGAGATAGTTCTCTGTGTATAATAACTAGTATATTCTGATATTAACGTGTATTTCCTATCTTTTCTCAGTCGAGGAAGGCGAGCGAGCCGGAGAAGAAGAGTTTAGAGAATCGAGCCGACAGCATCGGCAGCGGGAGAGCCATCCCCATCAAACAGGTGACACACACTTCCTGTCTGCACACACACTCACACACACCTCACACACACACCTTCAGAGAGGAGAGGGACAGCTGTGTCCCCCCCGCACCTCCTCTTCATGAAGCTTGAAATGACATCACTCATCCTGTTGATCAGAAACAGAAAAGGAGGTAAAGATGATACAAATATAAAGAAATAAACATCATTCTGGAGTTTCAAAGACAGAGGCTTTTATTCTGAAAAATGTATAAATAAATACAATAATTGTCTTACATTTTATTGTCTTAATTTCTGCAAAATGCCACTTTTTTAACAATAAATACATTTGATTTAATATATTCTTCATACACACAGACTACTGGTTTGTAAAAATACTAAAAAACATATTTATTTAATTGTAGAACATCGTATTAAAAATAAAAAGAATGCCTTAATTGATTAATTAAAATGTCCTTAAATACTTTCTTTATACTAGTTATAGAAAACACCAATAAAACAATAATCATGTTTTTCAGCTGAAATCCACTTTATTTCTCTGCTTCGGCCGCTGTGCCCACTTCCTCTGTTCTCACCTTGTACCTGAGTGTGTGTGTGTGTGTGTGTGTGTGTGTGTGTGTGTGTGTGTGTGTGTGTTGTACGTGTGTGTGTGTGTGTGTGTGTTGTACCTGAGTGTGTGTGTGTGTGTGTGTGTGTGTGTGTGTTGTACCTGTGTGTGTGTGTGTTGTACGTGTGTGTGTTGTACCTGAGTGTGTGTGTGTGCGTGTGTGTGTTGTACGTGTGTGTGTGGTACGTGTGTGTGTGTGTGTGTGTGTGTGTGTGTGTGTTTAATCTCTGCTCTCATTAGAGCGACTCTCTGCGAGACTCTCTCGTCTCGAGGTGACACCGGTTCAGTCGCCTTTTGTTAAACGAGAACGCCTTCGTTAAGAGAGTCCGCCGCTCATTAAAAACACACACACACACACACACACACACACACACACACACACACACACACACACACACACACACACACACACACACACACACACACACACACACACACACACACACACACACACACACAGTGGGCTGCAATGAGCAGGGGGCGGGACCCACTCTGAGGTAATTACCTGCCAGAGATCCAGACTAAGTGCGTACCTCACGCAGAGAGGAGCACTTTTACATGATAGCAGTGTGTGATGATGTGTGTGTGAGTGTGTGTGTGTGTGTGAGTGTGTGTGAGTGAGTGTGTGAGTGTGATGATGTGTGTGTGAGTGTGTGTGTGTGGGCGGCACGGGGTCAGCTGTTCACAAAAATAAACTGTTTGTCCAACAGTGTCTCCGTCAACACAGGAAGTCAGGCAATTATTTTGCTGTCCGTCATCTTCCCTCAGCGCAGAGTAGAGCCAGCATCAAGACGAGGAATCATCTGTGGATTCGCTCCAAACTTCCAGGGTCTCTTCAGTGGTCTGCGTTAGTGGGTCTCTCTGGTGGGTCTCTCTGCGTTAGTGGGTCTCTCTGCGCTTCACCTCTCTGCCAAGTTTCGTGGAAATCAGACCTGGATTTATCTGTAACTTTGAATCTAAAACCCTTTATGTTATGGTTGAAACTGTTATTTCGAGCAACTTTAATGTAATTATGGGTCAAAAAACTAGAAAAAGTCATGAAAAAGTTGCTAAAAACACTTAAAACACTTAAAACCAATGAGATTAAAGTCCATTTGTATTTATTAGACTGGGTTTTGTGCGGAAACTGAAGAACAGTGAAATGTCCCTTTGATGTTATTTAAATGGAGTCTCTGAGGGTCAGCATGCTGCAGGAAACACATGTGGAGCCCCCCCCCCCACCACAGAGGAAGAAGTGGCCCTGGTTTCTTCTTCTGTGGTGTCAAAGCGAGCAGATGCTTTGTTTACAGAGACAGATGCTGCTGACGCTAACGAGGCGCTAATCGCCTCTTATTCTTCTACACCTTTATTCACGCTGTTTGGAGGTTAGAATCGCACTCAGGACGTTAACTGGCTTCATCAGCACGTCTCTCATATCACACGCATTTTGGGTTATTTTGACCTTTTTAAAAGAATTTACTGGGGATATTTTTGACCTTTTTTTAAATAGCTTTTTAGGGATAATTTGAACCTTTTATTTTTGGGGATATTTCGAATTTTTTTAACAGTGTTTTACGGATATTTTGACCTTTTTCTGATTGCTTTTAGGGATCTGTTGACCCTTTTTTGGGGATAATTTGACAGTTTTTTGATAGTTTACAGAAATCTCAAGGCCTTCCTCCTCCTCGTCCTCCTCCTCCTCCTCCTCGTCCTCCTGTGATTAGTGTCGGAGGTAATTGGCTCTCGGGGCCTCTGGTTAGTTAAATTGGATGGTTAATTCGGGCGTTATTTACCCTGTAATTCATTAGCGTCGCGCCGCCATTGGCAGCGGCAGGCTGTAATTTCACGCTCTGCAATAAAAGATGTCTCATAATCTGCTTCATTTAGCAGCCAAAGAATTTAATGAAATTAACGGCGGCCCTAATTAAGACGGGGAATATGAAAGAGCTGCTTTAACGAGGCCCGAAAAATATCATTTCCCCGGGAAAGGTTGTCGCCGCTCGCAGACATTTTGGCCGTGATGACATTTCTGTCGTGCACACTAACCCTGAAATGAGGTTTCTAGAGAAGAGGGGGAGGCGGCAAAGATCAGCCTTTTAGGGAGGAGAGATACTGAAAACTGAGGCGTCAATCAGGAAGCGTTCAGATGGAGGTCTGCACGTTTAGTTTGTTGTTTCTTCAAACATTTCTCATGGGTTTTACGTGTGAAGAGCTCCAGTTAGGATCTGCAGACATCATATAGTCCAGAGATCTTCAAACTCACTCATACAAAATCTAATGTTGTCTGTTTTTGACACTTAATTCCAAAACCAATGAAATCCAGTTGAATTTCTATTTAATGGACTGTTTTTTAATGGAAACCAAAGAATGGTGCGTAGAAGATTGGAAACCATTTAAATTCAGAGCGTTTTTTCATCGTCATTTCACAAAAACCTTTGTGAGTGTTTTTACATGCCGAGTTGTCCAGTTCAGATCATACAGTCCCAATATCCTCAAACAGTCACACAACATCATATATTGGTTCTTTATGACACTTAATACCCAATCAAACCAATTCATTCACTTTTACGGGTTTTGATTGGAAAACCAAAGAATGGTGCGTTCAAATCCAACCATATTGTCAGGAAAAAAGAGTTTTAAGCTCTCAAATATCTTCAAATACAGTCAAACAATCCAATCAAATATATCATATTGTGTGTTTATGACACTTCATTCATCAAACCAATAAATAGTAAAAATGTACAGTTTTTTGATTGGAAAACCAAAGAATGGTGCGTTCAAATCCAGCCACATTGTCAGGAAAAAAGAGTTTCCACCACAATGACTTTTTTTTGTCATGTAGGGGGACAGGGGGAGGTTTGAGGGGGGGGGTTAGGGTTGTGTTTTTTTTTATTTATATGGGGGAAATAATTAAATCACAGGCGTCAATCAAAGAGCGATTTCAGACCGTCGTCTCCACGGAGTTTCAGTCTGCTGCAGCTTTGTTGTTTCAGTGTGTGTGTGTGTGTGTGTGTGTGTGTGTGTGGTGTGTGTGTGTGTGTGTGTGTGTGTGTGTGTGTGTGTGTGTGTGTTGTGTGTGTGTGTGTGTGTGGGTGTGTGTGTGTGTGTGTGTGTGTGTGTGTGTTGTGTGTGTGTGTGTGTGTGTGTGTTGTGTGTGTGTGTGTGTGTGTGTGTGTGTGTGTGTGTGTGTGTGTGTGTGTGTGTGTGTGTGTGTGTGTGTGTGTGTGTGTGTGTGTGTGTGTGTGTGTGTGTGTGTGTGTGTGTGTGTGTGTGTGTACAGGAAGCGTGCTCCCTCACATCCTGGCCCTCTGGAGCGGGGCGAGGCTCTTTTTAAAAGCCACTAATGAATTGAGACCGCTGAAGTAAGGTTGGGATAATTGAGTTTCTAATTAATTACCCAGAACTCTTAGCAGATAAATCAGCCGCTCTTCTTCTTCGCTGGTGTTTTATTTGATCTGGTCTTCTCTCCCCGGGGCCTGCCCTTCGCCGTCCTTGCCTCATCAACGCCGACCTTGTCACGGCGTGTGTGTGTGTGTGTGTGTGTGTGTGTTAAAAGACCTTATTGAACGTGAAATTCAACAAAAATCGAGATAAAACCCAATAAAATGTCATGCTTTTTTAAGAGGAGGGTCTTTTTGACGAACTAGGGTCCAATCAGAACGTCTGAAACCCAGTTTTCGTCTCTTTTTTCTCGTCTTCTGCGCCGCGGTGATTCAGATCTGAACACAAACACTTCCTGTCTGAGATGATGGATGATCTGCGACCTCTAATTTAACCCCCTGCTCTCCAGAGACGTGGAAGAACAAAAGGTCTCCGGCCTTTCCTCCAGATAAACTCTTTAGTATCTTCCTCAGATCCGCTGTCACCGCGGGAGAAACCATTGTCTGAGGGAAATAGAGGGGTGATGGAGCGATTAGAGGGTAGATTAGTGTGTATCTGGAGACAGGCAGGAGGACACACTCCTTCAGGAGACTCCCTCTATCTGAAGGAGATCACACCGGACCATTTCCTCCTTTAGTTCCCCCTAAAGTGGAAAGACGATTTAAGAACCAATGATGCTATCTTTGTTTGATTTCACCTCGCAGACATCAATCTACCAGAAACTCTACAAGAAGTTTCTTTATTCATTCAGACGTACTTGATACCCAGTGGTTCTACGATCTCATATACTTCAACATACTCTGGGTTATTAGCGTTAGCATTCTGTTAGCTGTCAGGACGCTCATAGTTCCCTCTAATGTCTAATATCTCTTTATTTCGCTGTGAAAACATCTGACTTTTACAAGAGTACATTGAACACCTCATGATGACAGTATAATCTACATTTCCCTAATAGTCATTTTTACCTAAAAGAGCCTGAACGCACCTTAAAATAACCCAGTGGAATCTCCATTACCGACTGCTAACCGTTAGCAGCTAACCGTTAGCAGCTAAC